GAAAATAAAAAAATTTTAATTGTCAGCCACATTAAATTCACTATTCCAAAATTTAAAAAAAAGAAGTGTCAGAATCTTATTCAGCAACCTAAACAGCCCAAAATAGCAATTTTTTACAAAAACCAAACAATTTTTCGAAAATTTTCAGCCATATTAGATCCGCCATTTTGAATTTTGAAAAACTAACATCAAATTCGTAATCAGCGACCTCAAAAACCCCCAGCAACAAGTTTCAAGAAAATCCAAACAAATTTTTCAAAAATCCACCATTTCAGGTCCGTCATATTAGATCCGCCATTTTGAATTTTGAAAAACTAACATCAAATTCGTAATCAGCGACCCCAAAAACCCCCTAGTAACAAGTTTCAAGGAAATCCAAACAAATTTTTCAAAAATCCACCATTTTAGGTCCGCCAAATTGGATCCGCCATATTGAATTTATAAAATTTGACATCAAATTCGTAATCAGCGACCCGAAAAACCCCTTAGTAACAAGTTTCAAGGAAATCCAAGCAAATTTTTCAAAAAATCCACCATCTTAGGTCCGCCATATTGGATCCGCCTTTTTTAAATTTGTGTATTTATTAAATTTTCATGTAATTAGAGCCACTGAATCAAAATCCACAGTTAGAATAAGCAAACATTCACTTTCAGTTGATAAAAGAAATTAAATTCCCATGTATGTTAATTTCTCAAACTACACCCCCCCCACCAGGCCTGTAAAAATGAAACAAGAACCAAACTCGAGGTCGGACTAGGATTTTCTCTTTAGATACATCTTAAGGCAGAGAACCTACCATGTGCCGGTCTTCGCACTCGAAATTTTTTTTTTTTGTGTGCCGGTGTTATTAACCAATGCAGAATGTTTAATAAAGGATGGATTGCCTCATTATACGGGACAATTTTACAAAAAAGTCAGCCAATCATTAAATGGAGTATGGAAGCCACACAATGTGTACACATATCTTCGAGAAAATCGACATAATTTAAAGACTCTAGTTTTTGAACGGTTGGGGATTGAAGACCCGTTGAAAAAAAAGATGTTATTGAATCTGAAACAAACAACGAACCAGTCAATATTTATTCCGATGACGATGAGGACGTTGATGATGGTGATGATGTGGATAGTGATGAAGTAGATAATTAGTTTTGCAAATTATTTAAATTAAAAGACAATGACATATTCGATTTTTGCATAAGAAATGAACTGTGGAAAGAAATGGAGCCAGTCCAACGAATTTATAATGGCCGGGAAATTTTGGTGCTTGCTCCAGGTGTATGGACTGATATCGTTGCTGATGAATTTTATAGGGAATTCCGACTTCCTTGTGCATTTATTTTCAAATACTGTCGAGTATCTGAAAATCCAGAAAGCCCATACATAAAAATCTAAGGTCGCTGCAAAAGCAACAAATGCAGCAATGAATTTCTTGGCTTTATTCAAGAGAATCCAATTCCTGGTAGCGATGTGTGGATGAAAGTAGGGTGCAAAGATACAAGAGGATCATCTCACGAACCTGTGAAGAGGCAATTGCGCAATAAAAAACGTTCGGATATTGGAAAGGAAGTCGCCGTTGAAGGTGCTGCTAAGTAGAGGAGAAAACTTGCTTTAAAATAACAGAATCTAAGTGATGTCGAAGCTCCAATTTTATACGACAGTGAAGTTTTGCGGAAACTGATTCAAGAGGTTTTTTTTGAAAAAGTTAAAATATAATTCCAAGTATGGAGGGAGCATTCATGATATTGGGAATGATAAATTTTTCTTAATTTATTACTTACCCGAAAAAATTTTTATTTACAAAGTATACTGCAAGCTTTTTAAAGATTTTGTCACCGTATGCGTTGACGGCACAGGAAGTCTTGTACTTCCTTTGCAAGTAACAGAAAATCATAAATCGCCTCATATATTTTTGTATGAAATCGTGATAAATTTTCTGCACACAACTGTATCGGTGGATCAGTTTTTATCTGCGTCTCAAACGACAAATAAAATTCTTTTTTATTTAAATGAGTGGTTAATATCTGCAGAGATTAAACCACCGCACAGAACAATAACAAATCCTCGTCAACAACTGGGTCTTTACTTGTATGATAAAAAAAAGTTTACCTGTTTCTCAAATAAATGGCTTCTTTGTAACGGGAACAAGTGTTCGAAACCACAAACAATAAATCAACAGAAATACATGATTAAAAATACTTGCCAATTTGACGCATGCACGCAAGTATTACTAACAAGCGCAATGGAAATCCCGGAATATTTTATGCATATAGCAGCTTCAAACAACAGAGCTTGTCAATTTGTCAACCTGATGCTTAACTCTGGACCAGTAAATAACCAAAATAACACCGTTGTTTATGATGAAAAGTGTTTAATATTGAAGTATTTCCCAAGACGTGATAATGAAAAGAATTCCCTGGGCATTGAATCTCCTAAAATACTAAAAGTAATCGACGTCTATTCCAATGTTGCAGATATGTGGCAATATGTTATGAAAGATGAACCAAGTGCTTATAGAATGAGAAATTGCAAGTGTGGATATTCTAAAATGGAAGAAATACCATACTTATATTTGCACCCACAAGTAATTGACAAAAATGGATTTAAAGGACTGCAGGAGGCAGTCATAAGTAGATGGGGAACTACAGATATTGAAAACTGTAAATGTGAACACAAGCCTTTTGAGTCTTTAAGAATAAATGCACACATTTTTTTAAATGGAGATGTCATGGTAGTGAAAAAATTAAAAGAATTTTTTGAATATTCTCAAGCTATGCATTATATTTTTTATGTTATTTTTATTTATTTATTATTTATTATTATGCTTCATAATATATATATATATATATATATATATATTATTACATCTACATGAAATGTAAGTCAATATTTTTGAAAAATTTCTTTTGACATCGTTTTGTGGTTGTTTGGTGGTGTTTTGTAGTGCACTTTTAGTAAATGGTAGTTAATAATGAAAAATTAAAAAATGTTCCCAGGATTAATTTTATACAGCAGAAAAAAATTTAGATAAGCTTTAAACGTATGGAACTGACTGTCCCTATTAACCCCAAAATTTAGAAAATTTCATAAAATTTGAGGTAAATGGGGACAGCATAGTTTCTAAGAAAGTTTTAAGAAAAAAGTTTCCTTAAGTATATTACTGTATTAAGGGATGAAAAAACTTAAAAAAAATTGTAGTAGATATATAATAGTTGAACCAATTAAAATTTGTTTGTTTTTTTTTATTTCAATATTTTGTCTCGTATTTGAAAAAAACAGACTTAAAAATGATACCAAATATTTTTCTTATTCTTTATGACTCCCATAACAGAAATTCACTTGAATTTTTGATCTTTGTTAATTTGGTTAATAATGACAAGCTATTCCCATTTACCCTGAGTTTTCAAATTTTTGGAGTAAATGGCTTGTCATTATTAACAAAAATCAAAAATTCGAGTGTATTTCTGTTACAGGAGTCATAAGGAATAAGAAAAAATTTCTGTATGATTTTTCAGTCTGTTTTCTTTGAAATGCTCGACAAAATACTGAAACAGTTTGACTTTGATTTTTAAGTTTTTATGCATTGAGCGATTACTTGAATTATCTTGCTGCTAATCGTCAAGATAAAAGCTTGGCAATTCTCAAAACCTCTTGCAGGTGATCTGAGGTAAAAAAATTGACGTTAAACTTAATTTTAAAAATATAAATTAAGCTCCAAAACCTCTTGTCCCGATTTACCCCAACTGACCCTAATATAATATAAAATATATAATATTGACTTTGAAGCGTAGTGTGCATGGTTTCTGAACTGAGTAGAATCGGGTCTCTCTGTAGCTCAATTGGTAGAGCATCTTACCGGCAATAAGAAGGTTCTGGGATCAGACCCCAGCAGCGAGAAACGACCCATTTTTTTCTGAAACCATGTACGAAAAATATTTGTACGAGTACATAAAAATTTCACTGTTGGTCAATTAAATTTCTACATTATCAGATATGATTAGGTTATATAGAATTATAGAATCAAGTGAAATTTTAAAAATAAAAAAAACACTGTTGCATAATTGTTATATCACAAAGCACTTATCACCAAGTATCACAAATTTATTAGCACAAAGTTACATAACTGCTATATCATAGTGCTTGTAACAGTAATATCACTGTGACCCTTATGTTACGACATTTTCAATCACGCATGTTTGTCACCTGTGATATCACATGTGATTTTCTGTTTTATAATTGCTACATAACTATTATATAACAGTGTTTGCTGCAACTATGCGCACTTGCAATGACAAGCACTTACGGCTGCGCAGTAAATTTTTTTGACCTCCCAGGAACTGGTGCTCAATGTATGTATAAAAATAAATTTGTTAACCTTGCACCAACCTTGCGACAAGATTGCCGTGCAAGCTTACTGCGAAATCTTGCGATAATATTACTGTGCAATCTTGCAATAATCTTACACTGCAATCTTTCGGTAAGCTTACCATGCAAGCTTGAATTAAGTGGGACATTTGAAACTTACCGCAAGGTTGCTGCAAGCTTACGTGCTATCTGGGACACTATTATAATAATTATTAAACAAATGGTATACTTAAAGTGCAGAATAATTTATTAAATTATGGCATTGCAAAATTATTTTTACAATTTGTAAAGTATCATATAGTGAATGATAACACAGAAAATGAAAAGGCATTAAAATAAGCTATGCAACGTTTATTATTTTAATACCTTATAATTTTCTGTGAACATAAAGTTTAAAAGTTCTAGAGATACGCCTATATTTTAAATTATAATATATTTATAATTATAATATAATAATTATGGTTATTTTAATATATTTAAAATTATATTAAATTATTTGTACGGTAATTTGAAAAACTTAAAAGTTAACTTAAACCTTCTTTCTTCCAAAGACAGCTCTTATTCACGAGTCTTTTCTAAAACTCCATTTCTGGAAAGTGAGATAATTACAAAGATCTCTGCTTAATCTGTGTTTCAGAGAGTTCATGGGGACGAAAAGGAACTTTAAGATGTCATAAAAATGAGAAAGACATTCAGTTGTAAAGAATTGAGCGAAACTAAGTGGTGCAAAATGATATAACTGACTACCACAGAAAAAATGGAGGGAAAAGTTAAGTTAAAATCTAATTAAGAATCTTGAATTTTTTTCATTTCATGTCTACGAATGTTAAATGTTTCATGAATAATTATTACATTAAGGAATCTGGAAACACATGACCTTCTTGACCAGACATAATTTCACTTCAGGGTTAAAGAAATCTACCGTGTGTAAAATTAACCCTCAAAGTGATGGTCCAACGGTGAAGTTCATAGTACTTGTAAGTATCGTTTTTTCCTATCTCTATAAGTTCATTTATTATTAAATTTAAATGTAATACAAAAGAATGGAGTAAAACATTATAGATAAATTAAATGTTTTTTTACAATAATTATACTTTCATTAGTTTTTTAAAATGAATTACTGACATAATGATTTTCAATATTTTATATTTTTTACTATTATTGTTATTTTAAAATTTATGTATATATACATATATAGTCTGTCAATAAAATTCTTCAGAATCGAAATAATAATTAAAATATATTCTATATGATAATTTTCACACTATATAATAATTTATCAATTACGTAAGACAAATTTAAATAAATTCAAACTATCTTGAACTATAAAATTGTCCTTTTTATAAAAATTTTCATTTATATTTATTTGTAAATTAATCAATACTATTTTTTAATTGATCGAAGTTTTCTGTAAACTCTAAACAAAGGTCAAACAAATACAATCTCTTTATATAGGGTCAGTTGGGGTAAATGGGGACAAAATCGCTATTTCTTACAAATTACGTAAGTTGTTATTTACGTTCCCAGGATTAATTTTCTGTAGCAGAAAAAAATTTAGATAAGCTTTAAACGCATGAAACTGACTGTCCCCATTTACCCCAAAATTTAGAAAATTTGGGGTAAATGGGGACAGCATAGTTTCTAAGAAACTTTTATGAAAAAAGTTTCCTTAAGTATATTACTGTATAAAGGGATGAAAAAACTTGAAAAAAATTTGTAGTATATATATAATAGTTGAACCAATTGAAATTTTTTTGTTTATTTTTTTTTCTTTTCAGTATTTTGTCTCGCGTTTGAAAAAAAACAGACTTAAAAATCATACCAAATTTTTTTCTTATTCCTTATGACTCCCATAACAGAAATTCACTTGAATTTTTTATTTTTGTCAATTTGGTTAATAATGACAAGCTGTCCCCATTTACCCCAAAAATTTGAAAACTGAGCGTAAATGGGGACAGCTTGTCATTATTGTTACGTCCCAAATAGAGAAATAACTAACGAAATAATATTTTATTTTATTTATGGCCACTCGGTGATTCAGTGAATTCCTGTTTCATTTACAGAGCAGAAGGCTCTGAACTAAGGGTACAGGACAGAAAGAGAATAGTGATTAATTTTATAATTAGGTTACGATTTATTTAGACAAGTATTTTAACGTTACAATTCGTTCTTATGAGAGAGAGGGAATCTCGAACCAACCAATCCAGCAAATAGAGTTCAGCATTCAACTGAAATAAGGAATGCAAGGGTTACTACAACTATACGACAAGTTTAAAAAAAGTTAGAAGTGAGAATATAAAACACTTACCTTAAAATTCAGTAGTAGGTGTGTTGAAAGAAAAAGGACCACTGCTGTGTCCTTTGTTGTCACAGGAAAACAAGCTGGTACCAGCGTGAGTTTATGACGTCAGGATGGTTGACGGGTCCAGGTATAACCGCAGGTCCGGAGTTCTATTAGGCGTGATGATACTCCCAATAATGAGTCTCTTCCAAAAAAAGGAAGAATGGATAATTGCCCAATATAATGAGAAGAAAAGATCCTCGTTTAATGTAGAGGGTTTTAACACTTGACTTTAACTTTCGTATAAGAAAATTATGCACTTGAATTAGAAGACGTCGACTGGTACCAAAAATGAGCTTGATGTAATACGTATGAAGAGGATTTCAGAACTGGTCTCTCCGTAAAAATGTAGTCCTTTTATACTTAACTAGCTAAAAGAAACGCGCGTGGTATCTATTATTTTTTATAAAAAATTAAAAATTTATTTTTATTTGACGGACAGTTATTCGAATTTGGATCTCACAAAAATAATAATATTATTTTTGTAATCGTTACTGTATTACAATTTCAACATTATGGTGTTATAATAATATAATACCTATTATTGCACAGTCAATATGACCTTTAAATTTTGTACTCAAATAAAGATTATATGCTACGATCATCGAATTGTCAGCAATACATTTAATTGACCCATCTCAGGATCCATGCAGGGTGAATTCCTACTTTGTTTACCACAAGGTTCATGAACTTAAAATCGCTTTACAATGTTAAAAAGTTCTGGATTCTTTATTTCGTCTGTGATTTCAGCACATATCATTTTATTTAAAGTTTCTGAATCGCAAATTTGTGTACGTAAACATATAGTTAAACGCACATGTGGCAATTCACGCTTTTTTCTTCTCTATGAAAGACGATACATATAAAATTGTAAATGAATAAAATTACAAGTACCTTGAGTATGCTTACCCTACTGAAAATCCCTGTACAAGATCTTGTACAATTTCCTCTACAGGATCAGCAACTGAACTTGCACAAGATCTGACCAGTTCCTGTACAGGAAAATGCATACGAATTTGGAACAAGTTCATGTGTGAGATCTTGTACAAGATCTGGTGCAAGATCTTGTACAAGAAAATGAACATGATCTTGTACAATTTCATGTATAAGTACTTGTACATGAACACGTTCATGTTCTTGCACATGTTAATTTTTTTTCTTTACTAAAAATTAAAAACTTCAAAGGCTGCGCAATAGTTTACTTTAACCTATATAGCTGCGCAATAGTTTTTAGCATGCATGAGTTACGAATCTTAGTGGTTAAAAATTATTAAAATCTCAAATTTTATTTTAAAAATTTTTTTACAACTATACATGTGCAAGAACATGAACGTGTTCATGTACAAGTACTTATACATGAAATTGTACAAGATCATGTACATTTTCTTGTACAAGTATCATTCTTGTACAATTCGTATGCATTTTCCTGTACACGAACTGTTCAGAACTTGTACAAGTTCAGTTGCTGATCCTGTACAGGAAATTGTACAAGATCTTATACAGGTATTTTCAGTAGGGTAAGGTTAACAGTCCATCCAGGAGCACCATAAGGAAACATTGTAGGATATGTCATGGTATCAAAATTTTTCTTAACAATAAGACTAGATATTATTTTCTGTTCTGCATACTGAATTTACATCAACATGTAAATCCCTCTTCAAATTCTGTAGATAATTTCATTATCTTCTATGACAAATATTTTTTCCTTCGGTATTTTCTTTTCATTCTCAGTTTCAGTAGACAGAACTATGTTGTAATTTTTACTGGGAAAAGTCTTTAATAAATATAAAAGGTTTAGTTCATCATTTTGAAGTTCTTTAGCTCGATTTATGAAAAGACAATTCCAATGATTCTCTACAAATCGAAATCTTAATATTTGACATTCTAACTGCCGAAAAATGATTGAATTAATTGTTTTCAAAAAATGATATCAAATGCTTGCTCATTATATTATTATCAGTTTCATAAATTAATTTTTCAATTTACACTGTTAACCAATAGAGATGTTGCAAATGCTATTTCATATACTTCACACTTAACTGTACCAATCGGCTGTTGATCAACACCTACAAAAAATTCTGTTGGTTTAAAAGGGAAAAATCTAATTAAATATTCTATTTGATGAATATTCAAACACCCTGCATTAAGGCTATCAAAAAAATAAAGTCTTACTCCATCGTAATAATCACAAATCCAATGACCAGAATTGTTATTACCGCTAAAAACTATTTTAATATGTTTATCTCTTTCTCCAATTGGAACAATTAAATCAAGCATTTGTAAATACAAAGCACTTTGCATAATGAAAAAAGAATTTGAATCATTTTTTAATAATTCTTGAAATTTATACATATGCATATCATTTAACATTTCATTTACATTTTCAATATTTAATACCAATCTTATCCAATACCAAAAAATTTTTCCAAAAACCAACTTCCACTATGTTCAAATAATCAATATTTTTTTCCAATATCAAAATGTATTCGATACTAATGTTATCCAATATAATTTTTTAGCCTTAAAATCCAAATATCTTTAATGCTAAAATTATCCAATACCAAAAAAATTTTTCCAAAAGCCAGCTTCCACTATTATCAAACAATCAATATTTTTGTTGCATTATCAAAATATATTCAATAGCAATGTTATCCAATATCTTTCTTTATTCTCAAAATCGTAATATCTTTAATGCCAATGTTATCCAATACCAAAAAAACTAAATGGATTGAAGTATTTTTTATATGAAACATTTAAGACAACCAAGTGAAACAAATATCTTCTATACCAATATTATGCAATATCCATATTTTATGCATAAAAAAATTATTTAATAATCAATGTTTTATCCTCAAAATACATATATAATTATTAATACTATACAAAAATAGGAATTTATTTTTTGGGCCCAATACAAAAATGAAAAAGACAAATATAATATAAGAAAATTCAACACATGCAGTAAGTTATTGATCGACAAATTGCAGAAAAATAATATAAACTATATAATAATCAAGTTAAGTTACCTGAGACTATTAGAAGCTTTTTTTTATCGACACTACTACAATGTTGTTGCAACGGTAGACGGTTGCCCTATGTTTATCTTACATCAGGAGTAGCCGTTTCACTTCATTGAGGAGAAGTGTTATACCCCCATTCTTCCAACCCGGGCCTATCTTAAGTTCTCGCGTGAGGCAGATATAACGGTAGGCCTGAGTAGCGTCCTCGGGGATAGGTGTTAGTAAGTTAAGTATGGATACACCACTTCCACTCACGAGAATTAAACGGTTATCATCTATATCACATATACAATAATAAAAAAATTTTCCCTCAACCCAAGGCTGTTTGGACGAATCTAGCGATCACGGATTGGGTCCTGTAAAGGGAAGTGGTATACCTTCACTCTATCGGCCTGTCCCGGGCTCAGACCTCGAGTAAGTCAATTACAGCGGTGGGCCTGTGTGGCGTTCTCGGGCTTGATGACAATATTATTTTATGACGCTTAATGAGTTTTTCAAAAAAATTATAAAATTTTTAAATATAAACATTATTTAATTTATTTTAATATATTCGTTTTCCTCAGAAGTTCACGATTACGAGCATATATTGCTCCAATAATAGTAAATGTTAATATTGAAAAGTTTTATAATTTTAGTTCAATTCAATAAACCTACATGATGTGTTGTAAATCGATTTAACCCAATGGTGCTGGCACCAAAAATTTTCTTCTTGTTTTTTATTCTCCAGTACATATAACCACATGATGATTGTTCGAACCGGGCTGGTAAAGTGGGGGACACAACTTCACCTTTCAGGACAGTATTTAAAATGTCATCGACCATCTTACGAACCCTCAACCGAAAGCTGTTTTGACAAATCAAATTTCAGGTAGAAACCTTCGAGAACCCTAATTATCAAAGTAAAGATATATATGTATATATAATCTAATAATGAGAAAATTCAAGTACTAAGAAAATGTAGATGAATGAAGGAATGAATACAAAGATTATTATTCTATAAATAATAAATAATTTTCGTAAGAGAATAGATAAAATTTTATTGTCGTGCTATATATTTTTCACCCTAATTTTGGAAGCAAAAGTTGAGTCCTTCTCTCTCAGTTGAACGTTAAAAGGAGGTATTTAGATGTGTAACAAAAACACGGGTGTTTGTCGCAAGAAAAACGCAACTCAGTATAGATTTAAGAATTCTTATAATATGAATATTATAGTTACGGTGACGTGACATTATTAACCAAATTGATAAAAATCAAAAATTTAAGTGAATTTATATTATAGGAGTCATAAGGAATAAGTAAAAAATTTGGTATGATTTTTAAGTCTGTTTTCTTTAAAATTCGAGACACAATACTGAAACAGTTTGACTTTGATTTTCAAGTTTTTATGCATTGAGCGATAACTTTAATTATCTTGCTGCCAATTGTCAAGATAAAAGTTTGGCAATACTCAAAACCTCTTGCAGGTGATCTGAGATTAAAATATTGGCGTTGAACTTAATTTTAAAACTGTAAATTAAGCTCCAAAACCTCTTGTCCCCATTTACCCCAATAACTGACCCTAAATTCATTAACGGAAAAGAAATTTTGTTATAAAATAGTTTTTTACTGCTTTTTACAAACCATAGGGTGAAGGAACCAATTTTCGATGAAATAGTGAGGTGAGAAATGTATAACTCAGGAATAACACCATCAATATACATTGCAAATTGATTTTTGATATACTTACACTCCAAATATTTAATTTTTATATAACTTCTTTGAAAAAAGTAAAGTTTAAATGGAAAAATTAATATAAAACTGAATGACATGTAAAGCACCAAGTCGTCGAGGGTTTGACACTTCGATTTTGATATCACTGTGTGCAAAAGAAAAAAATTATCTAGGGCTTATTAAATTAATTCCAGATTATTTAATATTATAAAAATAAAAGTTAATAAAAATAATTTGTTGTTTTATTTTTCAGTATATTTTTTTTCTTTTCGTTTTTTTATTCGTAATTACTTTTTGTTGGAGGTTTTCTTACTCAGCCTTTCTTTTCAAACGATTTTCTTTTCGTAACGTCTCCGTAATGATGAAAGGCATCACAATTGTTGGAATTTCTTTCAGCAAATAAATTTAGCTCTGGTGAATTTTCCATTTCGTTATCTTCTCAAGAGTTGACAACATCTAAAAATCAATAATAATATGAGAAAATGAAACAAAAATATCAAAAATAAATTCAGTATTTTCTATTTGACCACACTCAGAATTAGAATTTTTCTGCATGAGATTCAATGAAGTCAAATCAACAATGCTGTCAAGGGAATCATTCAATTGAGAAAACTTCATTTGTGAAATTTCATTCTCGGATAATTTTTAATTTGGATTTAGAATAGAGTCTATCGTTAACTCAAGTGGAATATTTGTTTATAATAAATCATTTTAGTAACTGTTTTATTAAGAAGACGTGTCAGTGAATAAAAAACGCCAAACCCATTTTTCAAGTTGACAGCTCGACAATTATAAAAATTCAGCACCAGTCGTCGAGTTTTAATTTTAAATTCTAAAAATTCATATAAAACGGCTGATAGGATATAGGTATATTTGAAAATATTTTAAAAAATGAAGGATTTACTGCATTTGAAACTTAAAAAAAATTGTCACATTTTTGTTTGCTCAAAGACTGGTGCCAGCTCAGTAATTGGTTCCTTCACCCTACTGAAGACGATAATTTTTAAATTAAATAAATTGGAATTTTTAAAATTTTATAGGATGATACATGTTGAAAGAAACAGTAACTGATAAAAATATGAAGGTGGACGGAGATATAGACTTGGGTAGTATTTTCTATCGGAATGGTCCGATATATGAAGAAGATTTCACCTGAAGTACCAGGACAATGTCAGGACTGAAAACTGAAATTGTTGCAGAAGGAACAAGCAGCACTTTACTGTCAACCGTAACGCGGCTAGACAGTCGAGTGGACATCAGTCCTATTTCTACAGCTTTAGCAATCTCAATTGTCTTCATTTTGTTACTAATTACTATAAGTGGAAACTCCATCATTCTTTTTGCTTTCTACAGATATAAGAGACTGAGAACAGCTTCAAACTGTTTACTTGTGTCATTAGCCGTTAGCGATTTAGGTGTAAGTTTAAAAACATTTTATTTTGCAAAAATTTTACAAAACTTTTTTTTTTATAAAATAAATAAAATATTTAAAAAGTAGAGAAGAATCCCATAAAATTCGTTTTTAACTTTCTCAATTGAATTATTTGAGTAGGAAACACAAATATTTAAAGAACGCATGTTCCGAACATGAACCATATCATGAACACTACTGATTCTTGTCTAGACAGGGAAGGTTTATGTCCCAAGAGCAAGAAGTAATGTCTAAATGAAGAAACTTTTTGAACAAGAACAATGCCTGTCTGAAATCTACTCAGTCGATTTTTTCTCTTAGTGCAGAATACTATAAGCAACAAGTGGACAAAGGTAGCCATTAAGGCGCTCTCACACCATTTTGGGTGCCTGCAGGTTACCATGGCAACGCAAGAGTGTGAGTGCGACAGAAAATTTAAAAATTTGAATATTTAAATTTTCTGTCTCACTCACACTCGTGCGTTGCCATGGTAACCTGCAGGCAGGCAGCCAAAAAGGTGTGAGTGCGCCATTAGGGTGTTCGTAAAAAAGTTGCTTTTCTAATTTTATTTCGGCCACCCCCCAGTTCGGTTCCAAAATAAAAAAAATTCTGTAAAATCCCTGACCGATCAATTAATATTAATCCTTGCGCCAGTAATCAATTAAAATTCTCCATTAAAAATAAATGGGAAAAATGCATTTTAAAAAAAAATTCATAACTTTTAAATTATTGGGTAAAAAATTTTTCAGGTTACAAATTCTTTCATTTTTAGCTACACTTTAAGTAGGTATATTTAAAAAAAAATCTGCCCGCTCCCCCTTCGGGGTAGCGGACACATTCTCATCCGCGCTTCGCGCGGGGAGGCTCGCTGCGCTCGCGGGTTTGAACGCGCCTTGGGGCGCGAAGAGCACTCCGTCGCGCTACGCGCTCAACTCTACATTTAATATTATATTATAATATTTTAATATAAAAATTATATCCAATAATTTTATTATTATTATATAGGATTAATTTTCTTAAAGTTCTTCGACTTTAAGGAGAACATTCTCATCATGGCACTCGCGTTTCACGCTCGAATGTATGATGCGGAATTAGAAGTGTTTTTGAGTATTTGGATTTTTCATTATTTAAATATATGAAACATTTGAGCAAACGAATACATTTAAGGGGTTAGTATCTCATCTCCATTATTTTTTTCAAACAGTTTTTTTAATTAAACAATTTATTTTATTTGCTTCAAGCTTGTTATACATAAAAGTAAGGGTTATATATACTATTCCCAGTTGAAAAATCTTGTACAATATCATGTACATTTTTTTGTTCAAGTTCAAGTACTTGCACATTCGCGTGATCTTGTACAAGAGCAGAAAACGAACCTGTAAAAAGAATTGGAACAAAGTACATGAACCTGTACAGGTACATTCAAGTGTATTTGTTTGCGACTTTGTGACTGTTGTGTGTGCAAAATTGCAAATCTATTTGTTTCGATTTATAAAAGTTATTTTGTCAACAACATTTTATGTCTATATACGTACGTACAAACATACATACATACATACACACAGACAGACGTAAAGATTTCATGGAAATAGTAAAAGTCAATTTTCGACCAATTATAATACCTTCTCATGTGATGAGAATGTAAAAATAAATGCTTTTTTCATTAAAATCTTAAAAACGTAAAGAGATAGAGAATAATGTTTAATGGGAAAGTTGTAGCTGATAAAATTTTGAAGAAAAAAGTCTCTGTGGTCATTATGCCAAGATGAATACATTACAAGATAATTGAGTGAGAAATTCTGATTTTTGTGTAAAAAAATATAAATAATATGTATATAGAGTGGTTTTTTTCTAAATTGATATTTTTTTCACTTGTATCATATTTTCTGAGTCTATTATGATGAGAATGTCTCTATTTTATGGACTGATTTTTTTCACCCCATTAATAAAATTAAATTTTTCATAAAAAATGTCTTTTTTTGCGTTTTTTAGGTGTTTTTCGACAATGAAACCACTGTAACTTTTACAATTTTAATTTAATCAAAAAATTATTTTTAAAAAAAATGTTTTCTTTTTCCTGGACTGTAATGCTGTGTAGAGAAAAAAATTTTTTTTTTTTTTAATTAAATTTCAAAATTTTGAAAATCCCGCAGTTTTTGCATTTTTTGATGAAAATGGCTGGCTAACGAACTTAACCTGTATTTTGATACTAACTTTGTGTATGCAAAATTGCAAAACGATTTGTTTCGATTTACAAAAGTTATTGTGTCAACAACATTTTGTGTCTACATACGTACATACATACATACATACATACATACATACATACATACATACATACATACATACATACATACATACATACATACATACATACATACATACATACATACAGACACTTTCGCCGGATTATGTTTTTTCGACTCAGGGCACCTCAAAACGTAAAGATTTCATGGAAATAGTAAAAGTCAATTTTCGACCAATTATAATACCTTCTCATGTGATGAGAATGTAATAAATATTCAAAATTAAAAAATTTAAATTCATTCCTCTATTAGAAAAATGTTGTTAAAAATTTACAAAATCGCTTATTTTTATTAACAACAAAATTTTGGTTCGGTTGTAGGCACCCTTTAAAAACCTGCTAAAATTATAAAACAATGAATTAAAACCACCACAGATATAGAAAAAAAGTAAAGCAAATTTGATATTTTGTGTTTACAAATTTTTAAAATGTCATCAAAAGCATTAAAAAAAGAAATGTGCCAAAGAAAAAAAGGCAATTGAAATTGATTTTAATTCGTTATTGACAGCTGTTAAAGATATTAAGATAAAAAAAAATTAGAGCCACTGCAAGAGCTATCAATACTCCAAGAAGCAATTTGATTTATTATCTAAAGAGAGTGGATGAAGATATGCCGGATATTTCGTTAATTTCTGATAATGATCTTCTAGAAATTCTCCGTTAATGCACTTTGTGTTCTTTACCGTTATTAGTAAGTGAATTTTGTTTATTTTGAAATACAATTCTATACTTTATTTAAATTTGTTGTAAGGTTAAATTTATTTTGTTGTAAGGTTAAATCACTTTTCTTTAAATATGCTTTTTCTTTTTATTTTTACTTATTTTTATTCTATTTCTTATTTCAATATTTTTTCAATTATACGGACTAAGTATAATTGAATTAAGAGAGCTGGCTTATCAATTTACAAAAAAAGTTGGTGTAAATTACCCGGAAGCATGGTACATTGATTGTATGGCTGATTGAAAGTGGTATTACACAGCGCTGGCGGTAATTCCATACCACCATTTTTTCGATTTCCACGTGTCAACATGCAAGACGTTTTTTGGAAAACGCTAGTTCTGGTGCTGTTGGCTTTGCTAATGGTTCGGGTTGGATGATGCAAACGGAGTTCAAAAAATGTATTCAACATTTTGTAAAATACAGCAAATCATCAATCGAATCTCCAACGATTCAATTACTTGACAACCATTCATCTGACTTGTCGATGGAGGCGATTGACTTTGCGACAGCTAATTGAGTAACAATGCTTTTATTTCCTCCACATTGTAGTCACCAATTGCAATCTCTTGATGTATCCGTCTATGAGCCAGTGAAATCTTATTACCGATCGCAATGTACTGCATAGAACGAAAACAATGTAGAAAAAGTGCTCGAAATCTGTCACATTCCTAGCATTGTTCGACTATCATTAGATCTTGCTTTGACACCTAATAACCTAAGAGCTGTCTTCGAAAAAAACGGGAATTTGACCCTTCAATCCAAACAAATTCACCGAATCTAATTTTATGCAAGCTAATTCAATTGTCGAAAATGGGACCAAAAAAGTCTACCGAATCATAAAAAAAACCAGCCCAACAGGAGAAAAAGATGACTTCGACATTCTCAGACAAAGATGAGGATTTTTGTATCATTTGTTTACATGCACGGAAAAAACAAACTAACTATTTTAGCACCAAACTGCTTTATCCTTTATTAGTATGCAATTTCGTTTACCTATTAAAGTATGAAATAATGCTTTTTTAGTTTAAAGTAAGTCCATACTAAATAAGTATAATGGTTATACTCTTATAGTAATAGTGACGAACTTTAAAAGCATAAAATTGATGCCCGCGAAGTACGACATATAGTCTACCTAAATTAGCAAGAGCTTCTTCCTTTTTGGTGGATAAATTCTTGCAACCTGCGTTTTGGCCTATATCGATATATTAGAAGGGAGGGATATATATTAGAAAGGGAGGGAGGCGTGGATAAAACGCAGGTTGCAAGAATTTATCCACCAAAAAGGAAGAAGCTCTTGCTATTTTAGGTAGACTATATGTCGTACTTCGCGGGCATCAATTTTATGCTTTTAAAGTACGTCACTATTACTATAAGAGTATAACCATTATACTTATTTAGTATGGACTTACTTTAAACTAAAAAAGCATTATTTCATACTTTAATAGGTAAACGAAATTGCATACTAATAAAGGATAAAGCAGTTTGGTGCTAAAATAGTTAGTTTGTTTTTTCCGTGTGCAATGTCCCGAAAATTAAATATAAGCAATTCTATCAATTGCGTAAAGAATGAAAAAGACCTGTCCATAAAAGTTGCATATCAAACGTAAAAAGGTTTTTTATTTGAAACATTTGTAACATTGAAATTCACTAATATTTTTGTTTTTTTGAATATTTTAAGTATTTATAATAAATAAATATTCTATAAGCATTGAAATCCGAGTTGAATTATTTTGAATATTCAAGTGATAAATCATTGATTTCATTGCAATGCATTTTCAAGACCTATCTTTGATAATCCGCTAGTTTGAAAATTTTTAATATTTAAATTTTTTAAATATGCTAACTTAAAATGTATTTAAAAATTAAAGAATTTGTAACCTAAAAAATTTTTGGTTTTGAAAAATTTAAGAAATTTTTTTTTAAAAGTGCATTTTTCCCCTGTATTTTTAATGGAAAATTGTGATAGATTTCTGGCACGGATTAATATTAATTAATCGGTCTGGGATTGTACAGGAATTTTTTTTATATTTGAACCGAACTTGGAAGTGGCTTAAATAAAATTCGAAAGTCGACTTTTTTACGAACACCATAGTAGCTATAGTTTACCTTGATGTTTTTTATTGACATAATAATTTATTATTATTTGAAAGCTACAAACTTGCACAGGGAGAAAATGTGTTGCTATTATTACGTGAATGAGCAAATTATTACTATAATCGCATAACGATACTCTTGAATAGGACATTTGAGGAATAATCCCCCATATACTGTAATATATTATGCAACTATATATGGAAATACAGAAAAGTGTTATTTTTATGCAACAGGTCGGAGTTTTCATGCCATATGGGATGTATTTGGAGTTGGCTACAGTACCGGAAAGTGAAGTGTCAACCTTGTGCATTCTACCTTATTGTATTGTAATTTCCCTTTGCAGTGTGAGTGTCCTAGTCACTGTAGCGATTGCAGTTGACAGACTAACATCTCTCGCACAACCATTACGATACAAAAACATAATCACGCACAGCAGTATTGAAAAATACATTGCTGTTTTTTGGATCTACGCAATCGCTGTGGGATTATCTCCTCTTATTTATGATCAGTTCGCAGCGAGGGAGCAAAATAAGAGGTAAATTTTTTATTAAGAATTTAGCGGCTGCCATGATAGGTGTTGTAAAACATTTATTTAAAAAGTATTGATTTAGTTTGTAAAGCTTACAATCGTAGATTAACTGACAAATGTTATAGAAATTTTTTAATTAATTAATAGCAATTTTTTATTTAAATTAATGAGTAATCAAATATTTATTATGACTTTTAAATGAAAAATTTTTTTCTTCTCAAATAAAAAGTAAACGAGAATCGCATTAAACGTTAAGGCCACTTATCTCACCACTAAAAGCTTAAGGCGCAAAGCAACGCATATAATTCACAAACCTTTATTTTTGTCAAACATTCATTGATTTCATAGTCTTGATTTTAAATACAATTCTTTAGTCCTAATATTAATGTTACTTGGTCTCACTGTGCTTGCTTCTATTAAATATCTTTTTACACTCTTACTCAAATATCAAGATATATTTTTGTTCCTACATGTTTCTACAGATTTAAATATTATTATTCAAGTGACGTAAGTATACGTTTTTTATTTACATTATTTTATAAAATTCACTGCGTGTAAAGATATCGAAAATTGAAATATAGAAACAATAAATTGCAAATGCAAAAATCGCCAGTGAAAGTATATTTTCCTTTTTCTACCACTGAAAAAGAACAAATTGCATATAAATTTAATATCAGAAACAGTCACATCCTGGAAGATAGAAATCTGTTGAAAGAGAAGAAAATTTAATATTCTCCAAGATTTCCATAAGTCGAGAATCACTGAGAGAAATAAAATTTGCATTCCACAACAAAGCGTTCATCTCATATTCAAACATGTAATGTTACTCAATTATATAAACTTTCATTTAAAATCTATATAAATAACACATATTCGAGAGAAAAATTTAAACGCATATGATTTTTATTATAAAAATTAAAAAAAAATCTTTATTTATTTGTATTATTAGCACTTAGTCGTTTCCCTTGCTTTTGTTAATTTAAATAGTTATCTATGAAGAGGTTTATTCCTATTTGCAACGTCAAGAAAAAAATGTTTTAAATTTTTATTTGCTTAAAAGCAACGTTTATTTGGACAAATTTTGTACCAGTAAAAATTTTTAATTACAAACATATTAGTAATTTAACAAAATAAATAATTTAAATATTAGATACAATTTTGCGTTCAAAACATGTGTGTTTAACGAAATATTTCCCTAAAAAATATCAATGCAAATATGCAAGCAAAGATAAAAAATATATTTTTGTTCATATATGTTAACAAAAACAAAAAGTAATAAATTCAAAATGTTGTTAAAATTCAATTATAAATCTGGGAAATTGGGATAAATGATAAAAAGTTTATAATTGTCAGCTGCTCACTCTTCTACATTCAATTCGAGAACAATGAGATTCAATTTCATGGATCAATGATTTCTCTAAATAGAATGAATTTTAGAACGAATTATTATTATCGGATATTTGATGACAGATAACATCCTGAATATTGTGCGGGTAAGAAAACTGTCTAACAGAATAATAGGAGAGCAAACAAGAACAAAACTCTAAATTTTAAAAGAGCAAAAATCATTTAAAACTTTTTCATTTGGGGAAATATTTTATGAAAATAGGTTAATTTTTACACTACACTGAAAAGTAAAAATCGTAACAAAGTTGAAGTGTGAATTTTCATGTTTAATTCATAATCACTTTGTTTTCTTTAATAATGTCACATAATTTTTTAATATTTTTAAGTGAATAATTTTTCTCAGGTGGATCACACGAGGTTAGCAAAAATTAAAACTTTTAAAAATTAAATAACTTATTTTAATTTTAGGTCGTATTACATTAGACAATAAATACTGTTTTAAATTGTTGGTAGAATAAATGCAATGTATTAAAAGTTAGATAAGAATTTAAGGACTTTTCTCTAAAAAAACACCCCATAATTTTAAAAAATATATTTTTTTAATAATCACTGTCTAAGTTATTTAGGCCTCTCAAGTGGCCTTAGCAAATAGAAATTTCTTATTTAAAATTAGAGGAATTGCTGCACAAAAGATTGTTAAAAATGAATAGTTTTTAATTCATGACGGTATTAATTATTACCCAACCAAAAATTTCAGCATTATACCAGAGTTGACTACTGGCGCAGTACTGGTTCAGTATTGGCTGCCGAGACTGGGCAGTCTGTACTGAACCAGTACTGGTATTTTCATTGTATCAGTACCACCCTCCCAGTACTGGAAAACCAGTACTGTGCCGATATTGAACCAGTACTGACTAAAATAGATTTTCTTTTTGATTAATACTAGTTTACCTAAAGTTCTAGAGTGAACCTGATGAATCTTTTTGTTTAAATATTTTGTTTATAAAATTTTTTCAAATTGATTTTATTTTTTAAAATTAAAATTTATTTTATTTTTCTTTTTTGTAGGTAAAATTATGTAAACAAAAAGTTTCCTGAGACCAATTCCAAAATATTTTGCAAGATTTTCTTATTGTTTTCAAATATGCAATAAACCAAAAAAAAAATTTTAAACGATAATTAAATAGCTAATTGTACAATTATATACATTATAATTATTTTATAAACATTTTTATTTTTACTGAACTGTTTTTATATATTATAAAAACTTTGGTTTTAAAATAAACATATTTTTATATTTATTTTTTGATTTTTTAAAATAATAATTTGCAATATATATTATAATAAAGAATAAAAATTCTTGGTGTTTTCGATTTTATATAATAAAATATTAATTAGTTAGTTGACTAATTTAAGTAATATTTAATTTGTGTTTGGTTACTAAAAATTTCAGACACTTTTTCCTAAGTATACCAAAAAAAAATATTACCTGGAGCAGAGATAAGTTTCGCTATTGCAGTTAAACTTATCTCTGTTACAGTTAAAGCTTTCTTTTCGTATACAATAAATTACAAAACAGACAGTACTCAGCCAGTACTGAACCAGTAGTGGTTACCAGTCCTGGTGCTAACTCTAGCAGCCAATACTGATAAAATGTTATCATCCCAAAGTTACGCCAACTCTGGGGCCAATACTGGGTGCCAGTAGTGCGCCAATACTTATCAGTACTGCGCCATTAGTAAATTTTTGATTGGGTTATTATTCTTGGCATTAAGGTTACTTAAAAATTATTTTTAAGACCTTTTTTAAAATTTACCTCTTAATTGCACTGAGAAAAATGTTTAGTCAGAGCAACCAAAATTTGGTTGGACCAACAAAAAAATTTTGTTGGTATTTAAGCAACCAAACTATTTGTTTGAGTCAACCAAAAAATTTGGTTGATTGTTTTTTGTTGGCATACCGAAAATGTTTGGTTAGCTCAACCAAATTTGTTTTGTTCGGAGGCTCTGACCACTGGACTACCCATCTAAGTGAGAGATTTAAACCAAATTTTGGTTGGAATTTAAAAATGTTCAACCAAATAATTTTGTTGGCCTAACCAAATGTTTGGTTGAGATAACTATACGACTTTGTTACGGCCAACCAAAATTTGGTTACAAGAACCAAAATTGCCTAATCAAACAATTTCGTTGCAAACACTAAATTTTTTTTCTCAATGTGTTCGAAATAAATTTTCAAAAATACTCTCATTTAAAAATAAAGTAGGTATTTTTTATAACTGAAAATATTTTTCAAAATAGATATTTTTTGTTTACGGTAATTAATAAGACATAATAAAAAATATTATTAAAAATATTTTTAATTATTAATTTAAACAACATTTTTGTATATTTCATTTTAGTATTTTTTTTTATTAATATTTGCATAATTTAATAAAATGTTCAAATTTTCAGTGAAAGCTGTCGATTTGGAGAGGCAATATCACCTCCAATAAGAATATTTCTAGTGGTGGCGGTTTGGGCTCCAAGTGCACTCATTCTACTTGGGTGCTACATGTACGTGTATTTAGTTGCACGGGCACATGCACGTGCAATTTATACCGTAGAGCTCTCGTTTCGCCATCAAACGCAGACTCTGACTCTTCCTCGTTACGGACAAACCTTGGCGGTGACTGTCGGCGCATTTTTCATCCTCTGGTTGCCTTTCCAGGTAAAATTACTCTTAACACTTATTTCTCACTTGTGTTTTATATTAATTAATTAAACCATGATAATTTAATATTTAGTAAAATATTATTGGCTAATTTAAAAAAAAAATTAAATCAATTTTCTTGAAACTGGTTCCTTGAAGTTTGGTTGCAAAATGAACAAATGAGTCAAATTTTAAAATATCAAAATAGAAAAACCAATAATTATAAAAAATGTTAATAAGCAAATTAATGTTCAAAAACTTAAAGAATCTGAGAAATTTAAGTCTTATTTTTTTTTACATTTTATTCAAGTTTACTAAAGAATCTAAGGAATTTAAGTTTTGTTTTTAAAAAAATTTCAAGCAGGCTTAGCTGATTGTAATAATTTAATAAATCTTTTCGCGAAACAGATGAATTTAAAAACTAAGTCTATCCTTGATATTTACTGCTACCTATTCCCATGAGTGAAGTCAACAATTCTCTAACGTAATTTCCATACTTATTCTCACTCGTTAGCTAGGATCACGAAGGATGAGGTCTAGGTTACCTTACATCAAGGCTTTTATTAATTGAGTAAATTCTTGCAAATAATCGTAGATGCATATAACATATATTTGTTTTTGTTAGAATATATTTAAATATACTACTCTCACCAGTTAAGTATTTTAATCACAAAAAAGTAGTAATTTAAATATTTAATTACTGTGAAAGCAACATCTATTAGATGCTATTTGAGCTTTTGGTTAGTGCTCTGTTATGATAATTACAGATAGCAGAGTATCCCTTTTTGTGCAACAAGTTTTCTTTTTCCCATAACTTTTGATTGGATAGAAATTATATTGATTTTATTCAAAACAAAAATTATGTCAAAACTTTGAAAAATAGCTTTTATGGTCAACAAAATTTATCTCCGGTTAGATGCACCACTTCAAGAGAAGCAATAATTTCAATTTAATGTTTCAGACTTGCATGCTGCTGGACATATTCTGTGGGACTGACATTCTATCAGAGTGGACAATTTGGTTAGGCCTACCTGTTCTGGCACATAGTGGAGCAAACCCTTGGATATACGCCTTTCATCATGGCGAAATGCGAATTGCTGCTGGAAAAATCGCAGAAGACTTGGTAGCCATCTTTGGACTTAAACCTAGTCGATGTGGATGTTCTCCAATGAGACGAGGGTCGAATACTAATCTTGAACTTGCGGCAGTAAATAACAGTGATGAACGTCAACCTGTGGAAGATTGCTTTGCTGCAAAACAACACAATTTTAAGCTTTACACAAGTCGTAGATGCCTAGAAATGTCTGGGAAACTAGCCGATATATCACCTGAACGAGGTGACATGGATTCTTCTTCTGAAAGCTGTAGGCAGGGGAACATAATAGAAGAAAATATTCATGATTTAACTAAAATGCTTGATCCGAAGTATATTATTGATCGAAATCATATAATAGACTCTAATCACAACGTAGATAAAATTAAAAGTCTCAAATATCTTCTAGATCCAACATTTAATAAAATTCGACACTTAAGAAGACTTAACCATAAAAGAATGTCAAATAAAAACTTTCAAAAGTCTAATGACCCTAAGTTCACATCTTATCAAAATTTAAAAATTGGTGAAATTTCCAACAAAAAGAACGTGCAATTAAATACTATGTCAGATCCTGCTCTCAATTCTGAAAGTTCTAATAGTGAGAAAATTCTCTTAAAGCATGTTTTGTGTCACAATTCCGGTCGTTGCCAAAGAAGAGATTCGAATCTCTCTTCTCTCTCGGATCCAAATATAAAGACTGCGACAGGAGGTTCTAATGTTTGCCTTAGACTTCTCCCAAACTCGAATAGTACATCTAATAGTCACAGGTATTCAGTTCAAAACCTATGGAATCACAAATATGAACCTAGTCTTGCCAAAAGTTTGGCTCAATGTCGACATTTAGAAAACCAAAAAAAGTTTTTACCATGGCAATCACGATTGCGTCCTACGATTAAACCTACTGACCATATTGACAGTTCATGTCCAACTTTTGATCTTAGATTACAAGACTTTAGTCATAGCTCTTTGCCAACATCAAAAATTTTTAAAGAAAATTCTAGGTCTAGTCTTAGACAGAAAATCTCACCAAAACATTTAAACATTACATCCAACTGGCTTGCAAATATTATCGATTCAAAATTAAAATCTTCCGAAACTACTGTAGATCCAATGGAAAGATTAGTTCAAGCCAAAAAAAGTTTTGAAACGTTGAAGGATTCCGAATCAATCTTTAAAGCTGAATCACAATCGAGACTGTTAATACCCTCTAGATTAAAGAATTCCTTAAACGTGCCTATTGTACACTCGGAACCTCCTAGTCCCATAGATCCTCTTCCTTTAGCTTCTCTTGAAGAAGAAAAAATGAAGTATCTGAATATTTCTCCAAGGCTTCAAACGTCGAGAAATTTTAAAAGCCCAGTAAGACATTCGGATCCAATTATTCCCGCAGTTCTGTTGAGCATCGAAGACTGCTGTATCAGTCCCACTAAAAGCATCGAAAACCTTCATAACTGTTGGTCAGACACATCTTCCAATACCACTCCTACTTTTGATCCCATCGAACTTTCTGAAGCTCTTCTAAAGAGTAGAGAGTTTAGAAGAGGAAGCAAATTAACAGACACAATTTTCGTTGAACACGACTCTACCAGATACAGTTCCCGCAGGCCTTCTGATTCTAGATGGTCAGAATCTTCCAGAAGTCAAGAGATTCTTTCGAACGTAGCAGAACATCAGAAGTTTCCGTCATCTTATTCTGTAAATAATTTTCAGAATTGTACAAGTGGTAGTGATCTTAATGACGTCACATCATGCCTTGGCTCCTTTATGTGTCCTGATGCACTTAGTTCTTCCCTTCGCGAATCCTTCTTTGAAGTTCCGTCTGCTCTGAATTCGGATATATTTACTTCTTTTGAGGAAACAGATGAGTACACTAACGAAACAACTATTCCTTCCGTTACAATGGTCCATTCGTCCGTGTCCAGTGTAAACTTTGAAAATATGAAAGCTGCTAGTGCCGAAGTACAAAGTAAATCTTCGGAATCAGTGTTTCACAATAAACAATCTTTTAATAAACAGTGTAAAATATTGAGACTAGAGCCTTCTGCTCATCAAAGGGGAAAAGTTAGACCCTGCAAAGAACATATTTTGGAAGATAATTTAAGAAAGAAGGTTTCGATATTAGCGCCTTTGGCTAGTCCTACACCAACGGAAATTTGTACGCCGACATTTGATATTGTTTCAGATATGAAAGGTGAGATTGGTGTAAGCGTTAGAGTGTGATTGTGAAATTTTCTTTTTTTCTGAAATTATCCAAAGACTTTTATTCAATTTTCTATTGTCATGTATTTGTCAAAAAAGCACGGTTTAAATGTTTTATTGGTAAGTTTAAATCATTGATCAAAAAAATGAAACATTAGTAATGGAGATTTAAAAAATAACAAAGTTCAAATGTATAGATATCTTTTAGAATAAATAAAATGATTTATTTTTCAAATTGATTACATACAATTAAAAAGTCTAGAGCAATAACTTGAAAAAATACGTTAAATGGATCCCTAATCTGTTTTCAATTTTATTTGAAAATGCAAATTCTTTAAAAGTGAATTTGAAAATTTTCTCAACAATATTTAAACTTTTTAAGCTAAAGAAAATTAATTATTTTTTATGTAATTACTACTAATATTTCCTACTTTTTAAATGAGATTAAGAACTTTTCTTTGATTTCAATATAAATTATAATTGTTTTTAATTCCAAATAATATTTAATGTGATTATTGGTTAATGATTTATTGACATTTTTTTCATATTAAATAAAATATCAAGATTCTGTACCCTGTCCTGTTTTAAATAGGTCAAAGTAGGACAATTTCTGCATGGGTAACGGAAATACAAAGTTTCATTGGTCACGAAACTGTTGAGCTCTAACATTATTTATTCTCAGAACTCGAAGTTTAGTAATAGAGTTTAAACTTACTTGTAAATGTAAATTGCATTTTGTCGAGAAAATAGTTTTCTTTTTAACAATTGCATTCAATTTACAATGATAAAGTGAAAACTCTATACAGCAGAATATTTCGCACTAAAGAATAAGAAATTGTTAACCACACGTGGTAAAATAACCACTAATAGTACCTTCATTAAAATAATATTAACATGAAATTTTTAATTGATTATTAAAAACTAATATTATAAATATTTTTTTACTACTTTAAATGATTTCACAGATTTATTTATAAAAGATAAAAAAAGAATGTAAAACAGATGTAAACAAAAAATATTATATGATTTAGAAAAAGGCTCAACATAGTTGAGCATAAACTAGGGGAATGTTGTATTCTTTCCATTAGGGGTCCATTTACGTGCGTATCCATTGTCATTCGTGTTGACCGTCTAAAAGACAGTATAAGTAACGATATCATATCTTGCCTTTAAGCTATACAGATGCTATAAAGCCACCTTAAAAAATCTCAAATATACTTTAGGCTATTATTTTTCTCTTCAATTTTTCGGCTAACCTAGATACTAAAAAAATTCCTTAAATTTTGTCTTTTAAAAATTATAATTAATTTGAGTTCTTTTCCATTAAATTTTTTATGTATTTTGTAAAAATTATAATTAATTAATTTATTTTATTATTATGTAATTTATTTAAATCATCCAATACAACACTGGATATTTTGTGGATATTCAAATCACGTTCAATTTAGATTCAGAAATATCTTGAATGTCCTATGCATGGAGAATAGACTACAGGAGACCAATGTAGTGTATAAGAAAACGGCTAATTTTCGTCGGAAGCTGTTAGTTCCGAAACTTCTCGCGCGCCGCGTTGAAAACAGATAGATACCATAAGTTCTAAAATTCACATGTGCTTCTTGGTTAACAGCATACATCGTAATATATGGTTTTCCAGCAGAAGAAAATTTTTTCTGTGAAATATATAAAATAAATTTATAAATAAATAATGTATGAGGTAAGTTTAAAATTCGCCAAAGTGGAAAATTTTTAGTTCAAATTATGAATTTAAAATTTATTTAAAAATTTTTTTATTTAGGGTCAGTTGGGGTAAATGGGGACAAAATCGCTATTTTTCACAAATTATGTAAGTTTCTTCCTTTAAAAGGTAATATTTCCGGGTTCATTTTTTTTTAAATTGTTATTTACGTTCCCAGGATTAATTTTATGCAGCAGAAAAAAATTTAGATAAGCTTTAAACGCATGAAACTTACTGTTCCCATTTACCCCAACTGACCCTATATATTATGATATAATGAAGTATAATTATTTTATTATTTAAAATTTAATATTAGTTACCGTTATTATTTAAATTATAATTAAAATTTTTGCTAGTTTATAAGGTTTGTTAATTTATGAAATATTATTTAATAAAGTATTTATTATATTATTTAATTTAATTAATTATTTAATTAAAGTTGTGTCAAAAATCTTTTTTTTTAAACTAAATTTATTATGAGAAAACTTTTTAACTATAGATGGATTTAAAATTATATTCAAACTTTACATTTCGAAATAAAAATTAATTTTATTAATACAAATAAATTTTTTTATTTTGTAAATACTTTGGTATATATTTTGGTAAATGATAAATACCTGTTATATGTATATTTATTAATATATCATAACCTTTTTTTAAAAAATGAGCTTGCTAAATACACACATTGATTAAATTATTTAATATGTTATATAACATAATTAATTGAAAATAAATATTAAATTTTTAATTTTCCCTCTGTTAAATCAAATATAAATTCAAAATCAATTTTATGGTAAAATAATTATCAAAATAACAACAAAAATGTGTATAACATTGCGATAATTTCTTATACGTAACTTTAATATTAATATAACTTTAATTTAATATTCATTAGTTCCTTAAATACTTAGGCGAAATATGTTTTCTACAAAGAAACATAAGTATACATACACTTCACGTAAGTCAAATATCAATTACTTTAAAGTTGAACAAAATATGTAAATTTGCCTAAAGTTAAAGAAAATTAACATTTTTCAATCTTATATAAAAATTTACTTGTTTCAATAGATTTAAAAGAAAAAAAATTTTCAGTTTAAAAATATTAAAATATTTATTAATTAATAAATTTATTTATGCTTCAATAACTCTGACAATCTTAATCAATTTTTATTAATGATTTCTCAATGGGTACATCTTTTCACTATTTCATATATTTATAAAATATCAACAAATTAATAATTATTATTAACTTATTTATAAAAAATAATTGCCTTCAGTTACCAATATTAGATTATTTTTATTATCCAGCATAAAAATATACCTAAATTCAGGTTATGTTTTTCAAAACAATATGGCAGCTAACAGATCAAAACAGATATTTCTTGACATGCGTACGTTGATGGTATCTATCTGTTTTTCTCGCCACCTATGGGCAAGCTGAGTACTTGTCTTAGCTTACGACAAATCTTGGCACCATTGTAGTGAAGTAAATGCGTGGGAGATTGGTCTCCTGTAGTCCTGTAGTCTATTCTTCATGGTCCTAAGGATGTTCCACAAGTTTTTCAAAGAGGGTAATTTTTATATATTTCTCTTTTCCTAGAAAAACGTTAATTTAGTAAACTAACATGAAAGTTTTGAATACAAAATTGTATTTTTTACTTGGTCCGTGTCATTCGAAATCTTCAAATCTTGGAAGTCATTTAAGTGACCCATTTTACAGTTCCTCAATTACTCTCAGATCCAATTAAAAATAAAAAATAAAATAATTGCGAGAAATATATTTATAAAAATTCAAGCATATGAGATGAAAAAAAATGAAAAATTGATTTTAAAATATTTTCCACTCTATTTTTCATCGATAAAACTGACGATAAACACGAATGAGGGATTAATCGTGCATACAGGACAATAATGTTAATAAAGGTGTGAACACCCCTATATGAGTAACTGATATTTATTGCTAACATTCTTCAATAAATAACACATTTGAAAATTTATGACGGCAGTTCTTATCACTCTTGATCCATGGGATTATTACTCACTGTCACTGCGAAAATTTTATCACAAAATTAGATTATATTATATTATTTATAAATGATGATATTTATTATAATATACAAAGAAAATATAATATAAAAGTTAAATAAACAGTCAAATTTGAATATCGGTATTAGTTCAAGCAAACAATAGTTTCTGCAAAATAATATTTAAAGATACAGCTCTCAAAATAAATATCAATCAAAATATTTTAATATCTTTTTATAAAGCTTCTAAAAACAAAAATATTTTTCAGGCAATATTCAAGTAGAAACAAATGTAGCGTCTTTCATATAATATATATATTCGTTAAATCAAGTAAAAGTTAATGCTTTGACCATGTGTAGTTTGACTACCTATTCTATATATATATATACATCATCTTGATAAAACTTTTAGACGACGTGAAAAGAATCTAAATTTGTTCTATGCTTCTTTCATGAAACAACCTTAAAAAGAAAAACGTGTAAAAACCAAACGATCACAAGAAAGTTAATGGAATGAAAGTCAGAAAATATTTTTTCATCAAAATTGTTACGCTTCATGGCTAAAGTTCATCACTTCTTATCAGATTTCAAAACGCATGCATGTAATTTTTTTTAGGAAAATGACAAGTTTGATTTATCAAATTAATTAGAAAAAAAAATTATTTTAACATACAGTCGACCCTCCCAATAAAGCCGGTCTACGCGGAAAGGGGAAGCGTTTTTCATGGAACTCAAGTTCCCCCACTACTCATGCTTCCTAGCTGCGAAAAGTTTTCCGCACACTATCTCAATAATGCCGGCGCATTATTACAAAAAATATACATGTGTAAGAGAACAAAAAGTTGTTTTGCTTAGCGGCTCTATTGGGAGACAGGTAGATCAAATTCAAGCGACGGACTTTCTGGCGCATGAGTGGGGGTACGAGTTCGAGCGTCAAGTGGAGAAACGGCTTTATTGAGAGCGGCTTTATTGGGAGGGTTGACTGTACGTCAAGAGTTAATAGAAACTATTATCTTATATAATTATATATAACATACCGAGATGTAGATTAAAACTTCTTTGACCCAAAATTGAAACAATTTTAAACAACATTGAATCTACTTTGAACTCTAAATTGGATATACTTTAAAGCTACATAAGACTTATTTTCGATCTACTTTAAACCTTCATTAAACCTGCATTGAACCTTAATTTAACCCCTGTTGGACCTATTTTGCATCTACCTGAGTCAGTCTTTATGAAGTGGCCCCCTGTTTTTCCAACTTTTATAAAAATTAAAAGTAAATGTATTTTCTTGTAGTATTAATAGTATTAAATGATATCCTAAAAGGGTTTAAAATTTTTTTTTGAATTAAAAAAGTTATAAACAATTTAAGTTTTATGGGCGCTATTTTTAAAAAATTCACAGTTTTTTAAGTTTACATTGAAAAAATATTTTATGACCGGGATTTTATTATTAAATATATGGACTTTTAT